AGAGAAGAAAAAAAATTTTGGGGTAAGTGAAGAAATGCTGGGTGGTGCAACTATTCACGTTAGTAAGGTGTGACAAACGGATACTCAGATACACTTGAGCGGATGGAGCGGGTCTTTTATGGATGCCAGCAGTTCGTTCCACAAGTAATCATGTACGATCAAATGTAATCACTGAATGATTTTTTTAATTATTGTTATTACTGATTGATGGTGTAATGCAGCAATGCGCGAGATTGATATCTTCAATTTGCATAAATGTCGTTAAATCCTCTCAAAAATAATTTGAGAAAGGAATGTTACATCCTAAAGTGTTACATTTACACATGTATCTTTTCGCGTTCTGATTTTGGATCATTCTTTGAATATTACGCGATCAAATAAAACTATTAGGTTTTCCCATCCATTGTGGGTCGCCCTCGACATCAAGGTGTGATGGTTGGTATGGGTCAGAAAGATTCATACGTGGGCGACGAAGCTCAATCCAAGCGAGGTATCTTGACACTCAAATATCCGATTGAACATGGTATCGTAACGAATTGGGATGATATGGAAAAAATCTGGCATCATACTTTTTACAATGAACTTCGTGTCGCTCCCGAGGAACATCCCGTACTTCTGACCGAGGCCCCGCTTAATCCCAAATCTAATCGTGAAAAGATGACACAGATCATGTTTGAAACTTTCAACGCTCCTGCATTCTACGTTGCCATCCAAGTAAGTCTTCGCAAATGGTTTACCTTATAACTCATCGATTTTTTTTTACTATAATCGTGCGAACTTTTAATCGCTTTGTATGCTTCTACTTTACTTTAATAGGCCGTCCTTTCATTATATGCATCCGGTCGTACGACTGGTATTGTCCTCGACTCTGGTGACGGTGTCACTCACACTGTACCCATCTACGAAGGGTATGCGCTTCCGCACGCCATTCTCCGTCTCGATTTGGCCGGTCGTGATCTAACCAACTATCTCATGATCATTCTCATGGAACGTGGTTACTCATTCTCGACCACTGCCGAACGTGAAATCGTCCGAG